CGGAAGACACGCCAGAAACGACCGAGCATGCGCCTGTCGTGGACCACCGCGCCGACGTCGTCAGCGCACACGCCCAAGGCACAGAGCACGGAGATACCGACGATGAGCTCGAGGTGGGCCACGAACGGGTTCATGCCGATGGCCCGCAGCGACCCAGAAAGAGGGCAGCCCTGGGCAATGCCCGAGGCAGCAGCGAGGAAGAACTGCAGGACGCCAGCCTCAAGGAGGCACGCTGTCGGAAAGAAGTAGAAGCCGAGCACTAAGTCCAGCAGCGCTCCCTCCATGCCAGCACGACGCAGTGTGAGCTCGAGCCAGTCGCGAGCCAGCGACGGGAACGCGTCGCCGAAGTCGAACATTGCGAAGTAAGGTTGCCTAATCTTACCTTACGATGGTCTTGAAATCCCGCAGCACGGCCGACGGTGTCGAGCAAGGTAATATTATTTAGAAAGTTTCTGCCCATTAGAAATCCACGCTGGGAAGCTGGACTCTTGGCTGCGAGCTCACGCTTGATCGAGTGGTTCACTGCGGCCGCCACGATCTTGTTATCAACCTTTTTCAGCGCGAGAGCTCTAGTGCGAGCCGCTTCACGGAACGCACCTGTCTGCGAGTCACCATCCTCCTTTCCCTTCGGCAAAAAGACCATCAGGTGATCATTCCAGTCGCATGGGGGAGGGTGCCCCATGGAAATGGCACGAGCTACATCAGCTAGGTCTCGGAGTGCACGAGGTGACTTCGCCCAAGCCGCGCACGGTATGCCATCGGGCCCAGCCGCAGAGACACGAGCGGCACCAGCAGCACGGGCTAGTTGACGATCATCAGGAATTGAAGCGTTGCTGAAAAACATGAACATTATATATATCCAGGTATTTGTTCGCGATGTCGATCGGGATTTCCTTGTGCTGAAATACAGGTGACCAATGACGGTGAAGCTCAGCTTGAACATCATGGCGCGCATCCACCACTCGAAGCCCATGGCCTTCGCCAGGGAGCTTGAGGCCTTGGAGCTTCAACGTCTTCTTGAACGGCGACCACAGTGCAGCACGACGTCGAAGAGCTTTGCGCATCCCGCTGATCATTTTGAACGAGCTGCCGTCGGGTGGTTTCCGTCGCTGCCCTTCGTCCAAGAGCCGCTCACGCTGGTCAGCATAAGCGTTCTGTGCCATCAAGAAGCCGGCGTCAAACTCGCTGGCGTCCTGTAGCTGCACCTTCAAGCCAGTGATGGAGAGGTGCCTGAGGGCGATCGGGCTGGATGCCAGAAGCTTCCGAGCCAATCGAATACCGTTGCGCCAGACAGCCCGAGAGATGGAACGGAAGACGACCAGCTGTGCATCCACCGACGTGTCACCAAGCTTGATGAGTCGATTACGAACATGACGGGCAGCTCCGCGCATTAATCTCTTGCGCTCAGCTCGGCGTTGATAGGTAGAGCGACGATCCCACGGCACAGCCTCACAGAACTTATCGCACACCAACACGAACTCAGACTCGTCGAAGATGAATTGGTGAATAGATTGCTGCCCCGTGGGAGTTGCACGTCGTGGCCGAGCTGCGACGATCACAGGGGCATGGTCAGAAATGCCCGTTGCATGAAGGCGCCCAGGGAATAATTCGGTTGCTATATCCAGTTGCCATTGCAGTGTGACCCGCGGGGGCATAGCCACGAAGATGCGGTCGATATGTGCCAGTCGCGGTGCATGATCTTGTGAAGTAAAAAGCGTCGGTAACTCATTATCCAATTCAGTGAACTTGGCGAATATGTCATTCCATTGGCGAGAGAGCGGCCGTGGCGCAGAACCAGCAGCGAGCCGAGCATTCAGCTCAGGGGCGCGTAGACGAAGGGGCCGACTCTGGTAGATATTGAAATCACCGAGCAACACGACGTTGATGCGATCAGGGGCGGACGCGGCAAGTGCTAAGTTTCTGGAAATGAGACGATCGATCGCGTCCATGTCAGTGCTCGAGAGACCGAAGTTGTGCACGTTATAGTATATGATACTGCTGCTCGCTTCCGACGGCGACGATGAAATAGCAGAGATACGTAAACGCTGCGCACGACCAGGAACGATGACATCATGAATGAACCGATCATGCTCGTCGGCGTCATGAGAGCAGGGGATGACGATTGCGACGCCGCCAGTGTCACGCTTCTCTCCGAAAGATGTGAATACCTTGTGTGAAATATTAAGACGATGCAGCTCCTGTCTGAGTTGAATATCATTGGTGTGCGCCTCCTGAATCGCCATCGTTGTTCCTCTCGCCAAATATTGCCCAAGGAACTTCATTTTCCGAACTCGAACCTCGTCGTCGTGATGCACGAGAGCTCTGGCGTTCCAGGCGCCGAAACTTGTTGCTTCTGTCTGCTTGTGCTTCGGGAGCCACGGGGCGAAGTACGTGCTAAATAGACCACATGACTTTCTCTGAAGGCCCGTACATGGTGTCGAACTCTGTTTTGATGACGTCTTTAGGAACATGGTTATCAGCAACAGCACGGTAATTCCACTCAAGAGACGTAGGCTCCTCGGATGCCTCAGCGACCACCGGCCTGACGAGTGGGGTGTTGCCGAGCGCGACGATCCCTTGATATCTGTTGGCGCGGACACGGGTGTTGAGCTTGGTCGCGATGATGTCTGCATGCTTCTTTGTCTGAACCTCACGTCGGATTTGCTGTGGGTTTTTATCGAGCCCCACATACAGAGTAGTGCGACCTCCAGCCATCATAAAACAATCGAATTTTCGCCAGTTTCCGTCAGGATGCTTGAGATGCCGAAATGCGTGGACGACGTGGCGTGCTGCCATAGCTTCAGATCCTTGAAATTGAACATGGAACCGCTTGCCAGGAGTTACCTTCGACCTTCCACTGCGTGTCAGAAAACCCAGCTGCTTCGATCCACGGCTTGACGGACAGGGAGACTTCTTCCAAAGTAACCATGTCTTTAGCGCTGGCAACGAAGATCGTCTTGTTGGCAAGTCGGGTGAAGCTGACCGCGTCGGAAATTTCGAAGGCTTTGGGGGCTTGGGTATCCATGATGTGAAGCTGCTTCCGTATGTATTCGAGCTGCTCGCGCATCTGCTTCTGATCACTTTCAACTTTGGCCACACCACGGTCGAGGTCGCGCAAGTGCATATCGATCTCCTCATTTTTGACCTCTTGCTTGCGCACCACTGCGGTGACGGCCTTCGACGTGACCTTCGGCAAGTCAGAGAAGAGCTTGGCTTGGGAATGCTGGACTGTCTTGACGATATACTTGCGCATGTCGGCCAGCACGTTCTCGAGCTCACCGCACTTGACAGGTTGATCGGCCTGCGAAGGGTCGAAGAAGGGGCGGTCGTCCACATCGTCGCAAGCGTCGTCGGGGTGAGCAGCCGTGAGTTCGTCATTGTCTTCCTCCTTAGGAGGCCTAGACCCAGGAGGAAGAGGAGTACCAGGGGTAGCAGTGCCTGCAGCGACCTCAAGTTGAGCTTGTGCTTGAGTGGCCGCCCATGGGTCTTCAGTCTGCAATATATCACGGCGAAGATGAGGGCTACGCGAGCCAGCACGGGCAGCAGATGCAGCATCTTGGGTGCCACGAGCACGCTATCGGCCAGCGCCAGCAGCACCACTGCCAGCAGGGCTGGGAGGTTTGCGCGCGAGAGACCTCCGCCCGCCGTCAGTGCCATCGCGGCCTTCAGCAGGCATAGACCCTGCGGGATTGAAACGGATTCTGTTCGTGAGTACACCAAAGAGACCAGCAGGTCGCGGTAGCAGCGTGGTATGAGGAAAGTTAATCCTGCCTCGGCCTTGAACCCTTCTGGGGGCAGGGATCGCCTGGTGCCGCAAACGGGCGCTATCGCCGACCTCGAGACGCGGTGGCGACGTGAGCCAAAATGGCTACGGATATATATATATATATATATATATATATATATATGTCCTCAGCGGGACAGCTCGTCAAAGTTCGCCCTGTTCCTCCTCATTGCCCTCCTCCTCCTCCTCATCATCATCATCATCATCATCATCCGCTTCCGCGTGATCTTTCTCCTGCGCCACTTCTTCGGAAGCTTTCAACAAAACCTGCATGCGCCAATCGCAATCAAACATGCAAATCGAGAGACCAACGGATGTGGCATCAGCCATTCACCCAAACCCGGACTATGACGCAGGAGCAATCCAGGGACACATTCTGCAAATATGTTCCGTACTCCCCCTGCGCAGGCTGCGCCACATCTGTCGACATGTTGCCTACCTGGCTGTTTCGCCTCAAAGCGGCCGAAGTGCCCCAAGATGGCTCAAGACCCAAGACGGCACGAATCCATCCCAAACGAGAGAGGCCTTCACGGCGACCCCAGACGCTCCAAGTGAGCCCCATACACGAGGACCCGAGACAGCCAGCATATGTGGAACAGCAAAACGTGCTTGATGATGCTGTTCAACTCAAGATGGCTCCAACAGGGCCTTGAAAGAGGGCCCGTGGGCCCCGAGAAGGGCCCAAGAGGGTACCACGCTGGCCCAAGGCGATCGTAGGAGGGCCCCTAAAGAGGCCCCCAAGATAACCTCGGGACGGCCCGAGAAAGCCCACAACACGTCAAGAGCGGCTCATGACCGCCCGAAAGAGACCTACGACCTCCTAAGGTGACTCCAAGACAGCCCGACGAGGCCCTATGAGCGGGGCCCAAGCGGCCCACAATCTGGCCCAAGTATGGCCCCGAGAGAGCTCCAGAAGGGCACCCGACGAGGCCCTATGCGAGCACAAAGGGGAGGGGGAGGAACAGGTAGAGGACGGGAAGAGTGCGGAAGAAGGATGAGGACGTAAGACGAGATCGCCTGACTTCGCGCATCGCGCCCCGCGATGCGCGGTTACCTTCGCACCCCTGCGCCCTCGCGCCACCCCACCAAAGAAGGGCAGCTGCTCTGACACAGGCCGCAACGCGCGAAACTCGATTATCTTCGCGCCCCCGCGGGCGATCTAGGACCTAGCAAGAAGAGGAGGAGGAGGAGGAGGAAGGTGGACGACGATGACGACGAGGACGAGGGAGCGAGGAGGAGCCTCGGGAGGGGGACAGGAGGAGCAGCAGGCGAAGGGAAAGAAGGGCGGAGGACCAGAAAAAAACGAGGAGGAAGAGGAGTGCGGGGACGAGGAGGCTCACGAGGACGATGATGAGGGTGACAAGGCGGAGGAGGGAAAACCGCGCGCGACCCGGGGGGCGAGCTTAAGACTCACCACCCAAGAGCAAGAAATTCTGTCGCCCGCCAAATGGAGCAAATTGCAAGCCTGTCTGGCCGTATCCCCCGCAAAGCGGTGTGCATCGTGATTCCCCAGGACACCCAGCCACTGCCTGCCGTCCAGTCCATCACCAGAGTACACCTTCTCGTAGATTTCCTCGAACTGGTTTGTCCCCACATCAGTGATAGCCCCATCAAGACATCCTTTCTCAATTCCAGCCCAATAGAAATTGTCACCCACATTGAGCACATACTCAGGTCGTGATGTAGGCGCCCGGCCTCGCATAACGTCACGGACGCGGAATTGGGCATTGTCGTCCACGCCAGGAACGAACGCTTGGAACTCTCTACGCTCGACGTGGCGTGCAGGAACGATGTTTCCACCCTCCATTTTCCCGCCCCAGTCACCGATGATGAACACGTGGTGCGGACCTTGGCCAGGTATGTACACGTCTGGAAGCCGCGCCCCATTGTGGGTCGTGCCGGTGTCTGGCGGGGTCCACCAGCGCCCTGGTGGCACGAAGCGGCCGGGGTAGCTGCCGCAGCCGATGCGGTCGCAGCTCCAGGGGGTTAGGTACACGTCCCCCACGGCGTCGATCTGCCCAGGCTCGCAGTGCGCCTTGCAGCTGGCCCAGAATCCGTCCTTGGCGAAGCAGTTGAGGCTGGAGTCCTCGCAGCAGCCCGTCTCCAGGCAGTTCTCGCCTACCTTGGAGCACCACGGCTCGGCTGGCTTCGGCCACGCCTTCGGGCACACGCTGCTCGCCACCCCCTGGGGCCTGAAAGCAAGGCACGTGGCCCCCTGCTTCGCGACGGTGGACTGCACCTCGTTGTAGTGCACCTGGCAGATCTTGCCCACCTCGTCGAACTCGATGGCCCGGCACAGCGAGGCGTTGACGCAGACCCCCTTGCAGTCCTGCAGCGAGGACACTGGCCAGGGAACGATGATGACGTCCTTGCCGCTGCCAGGAGGACCGCGCGTGCTCTCGTTCACCTGGCCGCATTTTCTCCCCGTTCCTCCGTCGATTTCGAGGAACCAGTCCAGCGGCCGCGCGGTGGTGAGCGGATCTATGACTGCCGTGAAGCTCTCGTCCAGCTCTTCAGTGGTGCTCGGGGCAGGAGCGGAGAGCACGGTGGCATCGCTGGCAGGAGCGTCTGGGCGGCTCGTGCTCTGAGCAACTGGGATCGCTGGCGCCTGCGGGACTGGCATCGCTGGCAGGAGTGTCTGGGCATCGCTGGCGCCTGCGGGACTGGTTTGGCCGAGCTGGGGGCGGAGCAGGCAGACAGTGTTGCTGGCTGGGGGGCCTGGAACTATCTCGCCTGTCCAGATCTCGCAGACGTGCGATTCGTTGGAGAAGCCGATGCCCCTGCAAGTGGCGTCGGACTCGCACAGCGCGGTGCAAGCACCCAGGCTGGAGATCTCGTGGTGACGCGTGCTGATCGAACGCGAGAGGTACCCCAGCAAGGCAGTGGCAAAGTTAGCATACTTGGCATTCGCCTCGTCGCTGGTCCCTCCGACACAGGTCGTGCCGAAGCCACCGACTGGAACCCAACCAGAGCTGAGCCATAGCGCCTGCGAGGATTGCAAGTCGGAGAGGACGCTCCCTGGGCCCGAGTGCGGAAGCGCGCGCAAGGCCAGTACAAGCGCCATGGCCAGGCAGCAGATCACCACAAGGGCACATCTTCTTCCAATCGAGGTGCTCGAACGCTCACTGGAGTGTCTGATCAGCTCCGCATGGGGCGCCTCCAATAAGAAGTCTCTGTCTATCGGCTCACAAGGAGGGAACCTCTCGGGTGCCGAGCCATGGCCAGCGGGTCCCTCTAGCCTACGAGGGCGTGTCCAACCATCATCTAAACGTCCACTGCCAAAAACCATTGGCCAATAGCCGTCCTGACCGCTCGCTGGGAACGCCTTAGGCGTACCCTTAAGCGTGCGGGTCGCAAGACAGGCTTCGTGAGCCAGCGTGGCTACGTAGGCGGTGGAGGTGCGTGACAGTGGTCGTGCTGGAGATGATGTGATATTGTTCTGCATGGCCCTTATCAAACAGATGCCTCAAGTTCCACGACGAAAAAAATCGACAGGGCCCTGCACAGCTCGTTCAAATCCCACCAGCCACTTAGGGCGTGAGTGGTTTAGAGGGTTTTCTCTTCCACACCCCCTTCTTCCCCTTCGGGAAGGGGTATACTTAACTACCTGGCATGAACACTATCCCCCGAGGACCCTTATGAAGGAGCGCGCCACCCTCCGCGTACTGTTGTTCCACATCGGATGCCTGCGAATTGGATTATTGCATGTGTTTGTCCAATCGAAGCGTTTTCGGTTCTTCCAAAGTGTTGTTCCCGCTGTAGCGCCGACCTCATTTTGGGGCTTCTGCTCGATCCGAATCGCACTCGCGCTGCAGCGCTGGCCTCATTTCCGCGCTTCCGCTCGTTCCGAATGGTGTTCCCACTGCCGCGCTGGCCTCAATTCCGCCTCCTGCTTACCCGACGTCTCCTCATGTGCACGCAGCTCCCCACTTTCTGATTGCGCATTGTACGAAGTGGTCGTTCTATGTGAGTCGCAGGTCGGCACGCGTCCGCGGATAGAGAAAAACTCAGCGCCATGGGAATGGATGGGAGGGAGGGATCGGATGTCAGATGAGGCGCGAGCGCACCTAGCTTGACCCCTGCCTCTCCCCCTCCCCCTGGACCTGGACGGGGGGGTAGCGACGCGGTGGAGCGTTCAGGACGGCCTCGGCGAGAAGGCAACAGATCATTGATTTTATACTTGTGTGTCGTGTCCATTCTGGCCTCCCTTGGGGGGCCCTAATTCAATACCCCCCCTCCTTTGATCGATCTCCTCGAAGATGGCCCCAAGGTAGCCCCTGATGCTCCCAAGGGTGCCCCAAGACGGCCCCAAGAGGCGCCCAGGAGGCCCCAGTGGTCCCCAAGAGGCTTCCAAAAGAGTCCCAAAAGGCCACACGATGTTCCCCCGAGGCACTTACGATGCTTCAACAGGCCTCCTCCGGGACCGCCACCAAGATGCCCCAGAGAGGCCGCAACAGGACCCCAAGGAAATCTCAAGATACATCCGACGAGACTCCGAAAGACACCCAAGAGGCCTCTGGTCTTTCTGCTCGCCCTCCTCATCTTCCTCACCCTCCTGTTCCTCATCCTCCCTCCTCCCCTTCCTGGTGGCGAGATGGTATGAAGGGGGCCTCCCGACGCTTTGTACGACCGAGCACGTGGGTATCCCAGCTTGTACCCCAGGCAAGGGGATCAGCTCGGAGTGGGTTCTCAGCTGCTTTTCGCCCTAGCCCTAGCCACTTCTCTCGTCTGACACATGCGTGCTGGCATGGCGGGATGGGGAGAGCAACCATTCCCCCCGATTGGCTTCCCCACGCCCTCCTCCTTCTGGTGGCCCCCTCTTGTTGCCCTTGTCTCTCCTGAGCATTCCACTGCCACGGATTTTGATCAGTCTGAACATTTGGAGCCGGACACACCTCCTTTCGCCTCCCCATCCCCGTCCAGACTTCCATGATGCAACTGCGCATCTTGGCCGTCTTGCCGGGTCAGCGGCGTGGCCTCAAGAGCTCTTGCTAGTAGCAGACATGTCAGTCACGCAGGGTATTGTCGAAGCTTTGGGGGGCGAGATCCTCGTAAGTGCCGGTGTCATCGCGGCCTGGTACGCGGGCCACGCGCACCACATAGCTGCCACAGGTTTCCGCGGGCGCATGCCGCCCGACTTGTCCACAACTGTCGTCTCTGTCCTCCTCCTCCTCCTCCTCCTTCTCCTCCTCCCCTTTGTCAGCGGTTTCCGCCGGAGGGCCGGAATTTGAGGGCGATTTTACGCGATCTGCGGCTTCAGGGCGAATGATGCTACAGGGGTCCCGCGCCGATTCGCCTGTGGCTGATTGTTCCCTCGTTTCGCCCCCTCCTCCCCAGTCCCACTTTCCCCTCCCTTCCCTCTCCCCCCGGCCACCCGTCACGATTGAAAAGCCTATCCGTCCAAGTGACGGGCGGGGGGGCTCTGGGGACCAAGGGTCCTTTCCTCGGGGTCCAGCCGCATATCGGATCCATGACTGCAGTGTATGGCCATGTCCTTTTCTCTCAGTGTTGAGTTAGAGCATGTGCTTGCCCCGTGCAGTGCCGCACACATCAGCGTGCTTCCTTTGGCCTGATATGGCCCCGTCAGGACTCTGTTCTGGCAGAGCTGGGGTGACGATCCATGTGCCTGCAATGGACGGCTGGGTTTTGTTCTCCGGGCAGATTTAGAGCAACCATCCATGATTCCGCAATGCCTGGCCAGGTCGGCATCCTACAGTGCAGAGTTGCAGCAATCGCATCGCTGTATATGTATGCGTTGTTTGTATTTTCCGTAGCCGTGATGGCTTCATCAATGGCCCAATCGCGCTGTCCAGGAGCCAACTTCACAGTCATCAGCTTCAGGCCTGTGTTCAAGCCGGGCACGCAGAGCTACAGACAAGAATGCACTCAGTCCTGCGCACAACGTTGGGGCGCATGATTGCGAACGCGACGAAAAATAAACAACATCATCACAGTTGATCCCGTCTGAGTCTCAGTCTGATCCGCGCGGGGCGCCACTCCGCTGGACCTCGCAGGAGCCCACAAACGTGGCGACAGTTTCGCAAATCGCAGCCACCCAAGGACAGCGAAACCTCATTCGAATCTGCGTTGGACGCCAACCCGCTGGACCTCCCAGAAGCCCACGAACGTCTGGACAAGTGCTCAGCTCGCACCCCCCCCCCCCCAAGGCGCCGCGAGGTCGCATTCTGATCCCCGAAGGACACCACTCCGCAGGACCTCCCAGGAACCCACGAAACTGGCTATACCTGCGCTGTTCGGAGCCCCGCATGGACGGCAAGGTCTCAACCTGATCCGCGTGGGATGCCTTTCCGCTGGGCATCCCAGGGGTCTACGAACGTGGCCACAGTTGCGCAGTTCGCAACCCCCAACGACGGCGAAATGTCATTCCGATCCGCGCGGGTCGTCACTACGCCAGACCTCCCCCTCGAAAGCGACGAAATCTCATCCTGATCCGCGCGCGGCGCCCCTCCGTTGGACTCCCGAAAAACCAACGAAAAAGTTCACAATCCACAAACACGCAGACAGCGTGAGCAGGTGGAAGGACAAAAGCGAGAAAACAAGGAGGAACATAAAGAGGTAGGGTGGAGACCGGTGACTTTTCAAAACGAGAGCCCAGACGTTGCAGGGTTGGGAAAATTACCCTGTGACGTACCCGACCCATGTGCATCGAGGGACAAGAAGAATTGGCCCAAACTTGCATGGACAATGACAGCGCAGGCGCCGTCATATGAGGAGCATGCTACGTGGGATACGCGCACGCGGCACTACTCACGGGACAACGGTAGAAGGACTAGAAGCGAGGAGAAGGACGCGAGAGGGGCCGAACAATCAGCACGGCGGCAGCAAAGAGAAGATGACGGGGGGAAATGGACGACGACGACGACGACGACAGTGGCGGGAGGAGACAGGAGAGTTACTTTCGTCGGTTAAAGATGCACCGTTGCCTGCTCCATGTCGCCGCGGTGCTCGACATGATTAAACCAGCTTGTAGCTACTGCAAAAAGCGAGCGAGGCCAAGCTCGCCCGCCAGCCCTTCTGCTTCCTGCGCCCTTTAGTGCGGGAGCTAAACGCTCGCAGGCGCGCCGCCAGGTCTGCGAGCTGCCCGCGGGCCAGGAAATCCAGGCCAGGGTCGCGCATCATCGGGAGGTTGTCCACGGTCGTCGCCCTGGACAGCATCGCGTAGAGATGCAACCAGAACTCGTCCATCGTCTTCTCATCCTTACACCCGGCGTCGACAATAACACCGCGGTGCATGGCGCGGCCCTGGCACTCCTTGGACGTCAGGACCTCGGCATGAGACCCCCCAGCAACCCTCGAAAGTGACCACAGCTTCGCAGAGTGAAGCCCCCCAAGGACGGCGAGGTCGAATATGAATCTGCATAGCACGTCACTCCGCTGGACCCCCAAGTAGCCCTCGAAAGTGGCGACAATTTCGCAGATCGCAGCACCACAGGGATGGCGAGCTTTAATCTGAGCCTGCATAGAACACTCCGCTGACCCCCCAGCGGCCCTTGAGAGTGGCGACAGCTTCGCAGATCGCAGTCCCACAGGGATGGCGAGGTCTAATCTGAGTCTGCATAGCACGTCACTCCGCTGGACCCCCCAGCAGACCTCGGAAATGGCGACAGTTTCGCAGATCGCAGCACCACAGGGATGGCGAGGTCTAGTCTGAATCTGCGGAGCACGTCACTCCGCTGGACCCCCCAGCAGCCCTCGGAAGTGGCGACAGCTTCGCACATCGCAGTCCCACAGGGATGGCGAGGTCTAGTCAGAATCTGCGTAGCGCGTCACCCTGCTGGACCCCCCAACAACTCTCTAAAGTGGCGACAGCTTCGCAGATCGCAGTCCCACAGGGATGGCGAGGTCGAATCTGAGTCTGCATAGCACGTCACTCCGCTGAACCCCGCAGCAGCCCTCGAAAGTGGCGACAGCTTCGCAGATCGCAGCACCACAAGGATGGCGAGCTCTAATCAGAATCTGCGGAGCATGCCATTCTGCTGAACCCCCCAGCGGCCCTCGAAAGTGGCGACAGCTTCGCAGATCGCGGCACCACAGGGATGGCGAGGCCAAATCTGAATCTGCATAGCACGTCACCCTGCTGGACCCCCCAACAACTCTCCAAAGTGGCGACAGTTTCGCAGAGCGCAGCACCACAGGGATGGAAGTCGAATCTGAATCTGCGTAGCACGTCACTCCGCTGAACCCCGCAGCAGCCCTCGAAAGTGGCGATAGCTTCGCAGATCGCAGCACCACAAGGATGGCGAGCTCTAATCAGAATCTGCGGAGCATGCCATTCTGCTGAACCCCCCAGCGGCCCTCGAAAGTGGCGACAGCTTCGCAGATCGCGGCACCACAGGGATGGCGAGGCCAAATCTGAATCTGC